CAATTCAAACTATGGCAAGTCGTCAACATGTTCTTCAGGGAAAGGCCTTTTTCAATCTTGGCTTTATTTTTACTGGTGCAAATGGTAAGGTTTTTATGCAATTTATTATACATGTAGTGAAAATCGAGGTATACCATAAAATTCTTGGTCATTTTTATCGTCCTTTTTTGTGAAACTGATTTGTTTTAAATATACTTTTTGTATCCCATACAATACAATAAAATAATAGCTTGGTTTTGAATGCTTTGCCTTAATATTTTTTGTGCAAATTCACGATTTTTAAACAGTGTTAAAATTTGTGCGCAAGGCCCAGGGTAAAAAAATTTAAACTAGTGCTAATTGTAACGGGGACCGTTACAGATGTTCCCCAAACGCTCCCCATTTCCCTTTTGGTGCCATATTCCCTGTAAGCTTCATTAAATAAGACAAACTTTATGCATTTGAGACTTTAACAACGTTTACCGAGAAGGGTACAAAGTTCATTCAAATTTTAGCATTGCACGCGTGCGCATGTGAATGCATGTGCGTAATGACCATATCATCTTGTCTACACAATCTATATACTTTAATATACTAAATATTAAAGTATTTAATCCAAAGGTATTAAAAAATACGCTCATTCAATTGTATTTTTGATTTTACTCATTTCACGTGCACGCACGTGCATACATGAGCATGGTGACATACCTTCTTGTAGAAGTCCATTACATCTATCTATGTTCTAAATACCACTCCGTTTGGTTGAAAACCAAGGGAGTTATAGCTGATTAAAGTTTCAGCCAATCAGATTGCAGCGTACGTTCATGCACGTGTACGGATGTGCATTGTGATCAAACCTTCTTGTAGAAGTCTATTATATCTATCTATGTTCCAAATCCCATCCTGTTTGGTTGAAAACCAAGGGAGTTATAGCTATTTAAAGTTTCAGCCAATCAGATTGCAGCGCACGTGCATGCACGTGTTTTCATGAAAATTGTTATATATCATGTTGTAGGATATCCTAATGCATGGCTATGTTCAAAATTTCAAAGGATTTCATCAAAAAACAAGAAAGATATTGAGATTTTAGTTTCAGCCAATCAGAGCGAAGTGCACGTGCATGCGCGTGAGATCTTGCTATTTTGACCATGTCATATTGTCTATGCTACAACTATATCCTTATATTACGAGTTTCAAAGCATTTCATCAAGAAGGTAAAAATTTACGCCGATATCAATTAAATCGGTCATTTCACGTGTTGCTCGTGCGCGCTCTTGCAAGCACGTGCACACAAAATGGCATGTTGACAATGTCATCTTATCTACATTTATAATATGTCTATATATTCTAAATATCAAAGCATTACATCGAAAAATGTAAAAGTTACGGCAATTTCAAGTATATTGGTCATTCCACGTGTTGCACGTGCGCGCTCTTGCAAGCACGTGCGCGCAAAATGACCTTCGTTCCGCACATCTACATAACATGCCCACTTACCCTAAAAAGGTTTCCCCTTAATCGGATGTGTACTTTACAAGATCATTCGCGGACAAAATTTTCCCGAGAAGAAAAATAATAATAATAAGAAACAGAGTAAAAACAATATGTTCCCCAACTTCGTTTGGGGAACATAACTACGAAGTCTTTGAATTTAAATGATATATTTAAACCAGAAGTCTCTGTCGAGACTGAAGCTCTACTGGTTTGTACTGATAGCAAAGGAAGAGAAAAGTACTTAAGCAGTTGGGAATTGAAACTTTATAACAGCAATAAATAGAATAATGATCCTTGATTATAAGCCTCTTTATGTTCTTAATATAGTCTACTTGCATGCCACATTATATTATGATCAGACTAAAACTGTATTTGGAGTAGCATTTTGAGAGTATTTAACAGAAATTTCTATTTCAGTAACCAATGCAATATCATTCATCAAAGTCAAAAACCCATAAGCAGAATTGTGTATCTTAGTGCAGTCTACTTGTGTGCCAAGTTATATTGAAATCAGAACAAAACTGTAGGAGGAGTAGCATTTGAAAGAATTTCACAGAAATTTCTATTTATAGTAACCACGTCAACACTGTTCATCGAAATCAAAAACCAATCTACAGAATTATGTTCCTAATTGTAGTCTACTTGTATACCAAGTTATATTGAAATCAGACCTAAACTGTAGGAAAAGAAGCATTTTGAAAGAATTTCACAGAAATTTCTATTTTAAGTAACCACGGCAACACCATTAATCGAATTCAAAAATTGATACACAGAATTATGTATCTTAGTGTAGTCTTCTTGTGTGCCAAGTTATATTGTAATCAGACCAAAACTGTAGGAGGAGTAGCATTTTGAAAGAATTTCACAGAAATTTCTATTTTTAGTAACCATGGCAACATCCTTCATCGAAATCAAAAACCGACAGAGTTAAGTATCTTAGTGTAGTCTACTTGTGTGCCAAGTTAAATTGAAATCAAACCAAAACTGTATGAGGAGTTGCATTTTAAAAAATTGTTTACAGACAGACAGCAGACGGACGGGACGGACGCCGGACGCCGGACGCATTACTATCGCATAAGCTCTTCTGGTCTCTGACCAGTAGAGCTAAAAATAGACAAATTAAAAAAGTGTTTTGATATAGGACATGCAAGATTTTTTAAAATGCACAAAAAACAAATCTCATGTCTTATGAAATGTTTTCATCGGATCGCACTGCATGAAAAGTCGGGTTTACTTTTACCTTAAATGCAATTTAAATGCTGCGATTATTAAATGTTTAAATGCATAGTATAACACATTGTGGGATCGTAAACGTTAGAAAATAATAAGCATTTAATACGAGTTTAATGGAAAATTAAAAGAACAAATTTAATAAAGTTTGGAAAATTGTAAACTTACTAATACGTTCGGATTTAAGTCTCCCGTAAACAAATATTATACCTCGAGTATACAAAACGTATAATTATTATTAAACATGCCCATAAAATAAACGTTTTATGGTTATATTAAATTTGATCGTTTAATAAAATTTAATCTAGAACTTATCCTCATTATTTTTTGTTAAATTCACACTTTACTTTATAATACTTCCAAAAATTAAGCTATATACGGAGAATTGTAAACTTACTAATACGTTCAAGTTTTAATCTTTCATAAACTAATATTAAATCTCTTGTATATGTGATGAAATATATGGATTAAACCTTCCCATATCATTAAGATTTATGGTTGTATTAGATGAAATTTAATAAATACATTATTGCATATTAATTTTTTTTATTTAATACTTATTTCATCATTATTTCGTATGGTTTATAATTGTGTTTTTCACAAGTATTTTACAATACACAAATCCACTTCTTGTTCAATTTTATTTTATGTTATTTGTGTACAAACAATGAGTTCTAACAAATTATAAGATATTTCAAAATTAATGCCTAAATGTCAGCATTTAAAAATTTACAATCATGAATATAGCTCAATTATAATGGAGCAAATTTTTGCATAATAGTAGTAGGTACTTAATGGTACTTAAGTAAGTGAAATAATTTTGTATTTTACAAAACACTTAATATGGAATTAAAATTTTATTAATTTAAGATACCCTGACAACAATGGGTCATCATGTCCAAACAAATCAATAACAAAATAATTATAAAAATAGAATTGCATGTAAAATTCAAATCTGCAATAAATCAGAACACAACAGGTAAAAAAATGCAGTCATTCTTGACTCCAAAAGACTGCAAAACCTGTTACTGAAACTACCCCTATTGAAGCTGCTGCATGGGTTGTAAATGGTTTTTCAATTTCCCAAAAAAAATCATATCATACTTTGCACAGAAGAATAAAAGTTGGCAATAAAAAATGCCCATTCTTTTTACATTTACATCTATTAAGACACACTAAGCCACTGACAGAGAAGCCTCACTCGCCCACAAGCAAGAGCAAAAGGATCGGTCAGAGACGCCACATTTCTCTTACTTGGGTATCAAGATCTGCAACTTACTGCCAGCAAAGCTCTTTCAGACTACCCTTATATTGTTTCCCAAGTATTTCCACAATAGATGTCCATGCACTAATTATCAACTTGAAAAAAACATGGCAATAAATCAGAGATTAAAAAGGTATGTACATGTGTGCGACACAATAAGCCAGTCGATATGGTATCAATAAAAATATGACAGCTTTTAAATCTTTAACCTAGTACAGTAAATACTTTATGCTGACTGTGTAAAATACAACACCAAAAAAAATCTTTTATATCATTTGGTTATGTCAATTCAAATTAAAGAAACATCATCACAATTACACAAAATAGTAACAGCTGATAATTTGTCTCTAATACCCCATATTTGTTCCAACTGCTAGGTTTATTGCTTGATGATTATAACTTTAACATATCCTCATTATACATTGGAATGCAAGAAATTTTGATAGTGATATTTTTTTCAGTCATTAATCTTCTACACTTTGCCTCAAAATTTCAAGAATGAGCTTGGAAACATGTACATATAAAATTTCCTGTATAAACAGATGTACAATTATATTTAACAATTTTTTTAGCCGTAATTACAATTTAATCTTAATGCAAAAAATTCTAGTCATAAACTCTTTTACTTCATATGGAAGGAAACAAATTAATATTTTACTCTTTCAATTCTCATTACTCTTGCAATATAATATTTATTAAAATCACAATTAACCCTTTTTTTTACTCAGAAATGTCTCTACCTCATCTGCTTAGTCTACTTTTTACATCTATGACAACTAAGCCACTGACAGAGAAGTCTCACTCGCCCACAAGCAAGAGCAAAAGGATCAGTCAGAGACACCACCTTTCTCTTACTTGGGTATCAAGATCTGCCACTTACTGCCAGCAAAGCTCTTTAAGACTACCCTTGATTGTCTTATTTTTTTTCCACATTAAATGTCCATGCACTTATTATTTAAGTCAAACTTGTACATATATGTATTTCATAAATCAAGATTAAAATGCATGTGATTGCATACTACACGATAAACCAATCAATGTTTAAACAATAAAAAATATAACAGTTTTAATCTGTAATGAAGTATCAGAAAAAACTTTAACTGTCAAAAATACAACACTACTAAGGTATATTTTTCTTATCTAACATTGAATGTGTGAATTAAAGTTAAGTAAAAAAACATCACATTTGTGCAAAACAGTAATAACTTAGATATTTGATCTCTAATAGCCCATTTCTGTTCAATCACTACATCATTAGGTTTTACTCTTTTAGATTCTTTATTTGTCCTAGTTCTTCTTAAGCTCTGCCTTTTAGAGTGTTTTGATTTGAGAGTGGCACTTTAAGTGTCCTGTTCTTTAAGGACATTTTCACATTCATCAGAACGGCACTTCAGTTTTCTAATTTCATAAATAGTATCATCTTTCGAATCATTTTTTGTACTATAAAGACATAATCAATATTTAAAACTGCTTCTTCTTGCTTTTTCTTCTCTTCATCCCAAGAAATTTTCAGCTCTGGAGAAGCACATGTAGCTCCTAATTTCTACAACAAACATACAAATAATTACCCATTTGCCTATGTACATATTGTATGTGTGCTTCTGGATTTATGCATATATTACATGTAACTTGTACACAAAATTTAGGTTGATTGTAAACTTATCAATTGACCTAGAGGAAACACAGCTCAATTTTGATTAATTATTGACAACTGAAATATTTTTGAACCTATCTAGATTTTAAAAGAAAGTGCATATGGCAGTCTATTTAATATTACATGTATGGGGTGATGTGTTTACATTTGTGTGTGATTACATTGATTGCAATGTAGTTCTAAAAAGGAACAATTGTACGACACAAAAAGGGGTTTGTGAGTTTTGTTCCATATAATGTTTCTTTATTCTAGGTGGTTCTCTTAACATCAGAACTTTGACATTTACAGAAGACCATAAAAGATATGCCATTTTTTCAAGTCTGGGTAATAAAATATTTATCTATAATTTCAGACCAGCGAGCTACAAATTTTGAAGCTAGTGTTGATGTACATGTAAATTGGAGACTAATGACTTTTTCCCCATCTTTTTTGGAGCATTTTACCACTATGCTTACCTGCTTGACCTTGAACATGTTGAGGTGCCCTTTTCTCTGTTCCTCCACAATAATTCTTTCATTTAGCAGCAAGATACTATGGATATGGTATAAAACTGTAAGAAACAAAATATGAAAAATTAATAACAGGTATGGCTCTCCATAGAAAGAATATACAAAAAAGGAGAAAAGATATAAAAACAGGGTGTACTTATGACTAAAGCAAGTAGATAACATTTTACACAATGATAAAATTCTCTGTGTCATCTTGTTAAGAGAATTACATAAAAAAAACATATAATTATATGTATAGATCAAATTTATAGACGACAAAATATGATATGAAATATACATAATGGTACCGTACTCCGAGCACATGGAATTCGAAGATTTACAAAATTTACGAAAATGCAAATGATAGCATTTAAAGCATTTAACATATTAAAACATACGTATCTATAGTTTCAGACCAGCTAGCTACAGATTTTGTGGATGTACATGTAAATTGTGGACTAGTAACTTTTTGCCATCTTTTTTTGAGCATTTTACCACTGTGTTTACCTGTTTGACCTTGAACATGTTGAGGTGCCCTTTTCTCTGTGTTCCTCCACAATATTTTATTTCATTTAGCAGAAAGATACTATGGATAAAAAAAATATGAAAAATCAATAACAGGTATGGCATTTCATAGAAAACATATACAAACATATGTATTTATGATTAGAGCAGGTAGATAACATTCATACAATAAAAAAATCCTTAAACTTTTGTGATCTAGTTCAGCGAATTATTTCAAAAACTTATGATAATATGTACAAGATCAAATTTAGAGACGAAAAAACATGATACGAAATAGATGTACATAATGGCGCACCATACTCGGAACACATAGAATTTAAGAGTTTACGAAAATGCAAAGGTTAGCATCTACAGCATTTAACATGCAAGTTATTGGGATAATGAGCAAGTGATTTAACATAAAATAAAATATATTAACAACTTACACTGTAGATAGCTGGGGTTTAAAGTTCCAGTAAATGTGGCAATCTCATACACAACAAGTCGTACAACAAATGATTATAGTTCGTATCTCAAACTGGGTAGCCAAATATCTGGTCATGTCACTTTAAGAAGGAAGGCTCAGAAAGTTCGATGTTGTCAGATCATTCCCATAGATACTTCAAACATTTCTGGCACAATTTCTGAAAGAAAAGTTGTATCTTGAAGGGTTTTTTTTCAAATTAGGATTAATTCTGATGAATGTAAAAATTTGAAAAGTTTACAGATGACAGACGAATACCAGACACTGATCAGAAAACTCGCTTGGGTCTTAAAATAGCTCAGGTGAGCTAAAAAAAATCAGTTCATGTGATTTTATTGATCTTATCAGAAAATTTAAGACATCTTACCTTTGTGCTAATTTTCATACTGGTTTTGTCCTTCTTGTGAGTATTCGGATTCCTGTAAATAATGCATGTATAATTGTGCATCATAGAATATGATAGCTTTTTTTAATAATTCATGCTTAAGTATTTAATGTAAAATAATTATGCATAGCTCTGTGCAATTTATAGTATGTTTAGATTACCTATCAGAATCCATTGCTATTGTATTTTTAGGATAAGGAAATTAAGAATATGAACCTCGTCTTGTTTTCTTGGTAAATAGTAGTTCAAGTTGTTGCAATATTTTTTTTTATATTCTTATGCTAAAATATACAAGTTACTAAAAAACAATGCTACATTATATGTGTTATATGAAAATTTGAGCTGCGTGGTTCTCACCATTTTCACAAGCTGACTATATACGCCGGCGCTGTGGGGAATCGTCTCAGGCACAGTCCACTGCAACTATTAAATAATCAAAATAAGTGCTGAATATGATCTTGAACATACATTAAAAAGTAAATATATTTTTTTTACATTGTACAACATACTTTGTAAATGCTGAACAGAGGAACACTAAAATTCCTGAACCAATCCCAAACGAGGAAATTCTGGTTAAAATCCATCTTTATGAGAGATGTTTAAAAGATAATAATTGCAAAATTTAAATAGTGCTTGCTCAAACGTTTTTACGGTCAGGCTTTTTATGTGTAGTGCCCAGACTAAGGAACAGTAACATTGTCAGAAGCAGAAGATAATTATTCATTCAAGGACACATGATAAAATTGTGTATATTGTTCATACCGCAGTATAGGGTCGTAAAATGTCTTCATCTTCTGTCAAAACAGAAATTCCATCCAAAGCTAATTATACTTCTCCTTTTCGCGACACCCTCTTTCGCACTTTCCTTCTGTACAACATCATGATCAAGTTCAACATGGCTGCGTGGAACCCCCAAAAAACTTGAATTTCGGCGCGGTGTGTTGTTTAAATTAATTGCATTTCGAGCCCGACTTCGATCCCGATGTAATTGTACTAAAGTATTAGTCGACAGTTTTAGTGAAAAAAAATCTAAGTTATATTCCACAGTTTTGAAAATCTACATAAGGGTTAAATAATTAAAAATGAATAAATAAAAATTAAAATAAATAAATATTTTTTTTATTAAAAAATGTTTCAACATAAGTTTACGTAGCAACATTGACGGTTCATTAATGTCGGGCCAACATTACAACGTCGGAAGTTTAATGTAAATGATTTTGTTATTTTGCAATAATAAAACTGTAAACAATCTTTTATTTTGATTAAAATAAAGAATTAATATTTATGACATATTCAAAATACCAAAAACATACTTAAACTTAAAGTTTAAGCATATTTACTTTTACATGTCGATATTCTTAAACGAAACGTCCCAGATAGCAAGCTTACGTTGGCCCAATGTTGGGCCACCGTTGTAAGTTACGTTGGTCCAATGTCGGAAAATGATATTGGGCCAATGTAATTTTGCTCATCGGCGCAACGTTGCGCCGACATGTTGGCGCAACGTTGGCCCAATGTCATAGAACGATAATTCTGGCGTTGGTCCAACGTTGGGCCACTGTTGTCAGTTATGTTGGCCCAACGTCGGACCAACGTCAGAATTATCGTTCTATGACATTGGGCCAATGTTGCGCCAACATGTCGGCGCAACGTTGCGCCGATGAGCAAAATTACATTGGCCCAATATCATTTTCCGACATTGGACCAACGTCGGAAAATGTATATTTGGCCAATGTAATTTTGCTCATCGTTGCAACATTGCACTGACATGTTGGCGCTACGTTGTCCAAATGTTATACAATGATAATTCTGATGTTGGCCCAATGTAGGCCCAACGTATTTGTGCATCTTCATGTAGGCCTTACGTTGGCCCAATTTCAAACAATGATAATTCTTATGTTGGCCCAACATATCTGTGCACAAGGATATTTAGAAATCTATGGATTTCCATTGAAATCTAAGAAATTCCAGGAAGATACAATGAAAACTGAATTCAATTCAATTCAATGTTCAATTTATCATAGATCAAATCTATATTTTCAAAATTAAAAAAAATTGTTTCTTTCACAATGTGTTTTTAAACAAATATTACATATACACTTATAGATGTACAATGTAAGCATATTTTTATCTAAGTATTCTCACTGATCAACATTTCTTTGTAATAAAACAAACTATTTCTTTTTTTAAAATATGTAATAACATTGGGAGAGGTCATTGAAACCTCAACGGGGTATACAGTTGCAATGAACTTCCAGTTGCCCTTGAACATTTACCGTACAAATTAATGACTAGACTAGAGTGACAAACACATGTATTAACTTATTAAGACAAAATATCCACTACAACTATATTAATAAAAAGATCCCATAAAATCAACACAGTCACGCTATTTTCCCCGAATATGCCAAAGATCCTAATTTATAAGTTAGATCCGAAATTTCTCAAGTGTCTGCTTGAATCACTTCCTCACTGATATCCCATGAAATTCGCAAATGAATTCACTTTAGTTTAAGTAGGAAGGCTCAGAAAGTTCGATGTTGATTGTTCCCGTAGACACTTACTTTTCTGGCACAATTTCTGAAAGAAAAAATGACCATCAGGATGTATTATCATCGATTATCTATCGCATTTATATATTATAAACATATAAATATATAACAAATAATAAAGTAAGGCTCTACAAGAGTACAAGACTGTTAAGACAATTGGTTACTTCAACCTGACAGTTCAGTATACATTTAGTGTAGAATAGAAATTCACTATCTTGCAGTGTCTTTTTTTGGTTCTTAGGATTAATTTCGATAAATGTAAAAATTTGAGAAGTTTACAGATGACAGACGAAAACTAGACGTTGATGAGAAAACTCGCTTTGTTTAACTTTGGACTTAAAATGGCTCAAGTGAGCTAAAGGAAAAGGTTAGGGCTAGAGCTAAAGCCCTATGCCTGACTTACATTGAATAAGATATAAGATACATGTATTTCAATTCATGTGATTTTATAGCTCTAATCAGAAAATTTAAGAAATCTTAGAATACCTTTGTGTTAATTTCCATACTGCATTTGTCCTTCTTGTGAGCATTCAGATTCCTGTAAATAATGCATGTATAATTGTGCATCATAGCATATGTCAAAATGATAGCTATTCTTAATAATTTATGCATAAGTATTTAATATAAAATAATTAATATGCATAGCTGTGCTAATTTATAGCATGTTTAGATTACCTGTCAGAATCCATTGTTATGTATTTTAGGATAATGAAATTAAGAATATAAACCTCTTGTTTACTTGGTACATAGAAGTCTGCAATATTTTTATAGTTCTATGCTAAAAGATACAAGTTAATAAAAACAATATTAGGTTATTTGTGTTAAATGAAAATTTGAGCTGGTTCTCACCATTTATACAAGCTGACTATTCGCCGGCGCTATGGGAATCGTCTCAGGCACAGTCCACTGCATGCAACTATTAAATAATCAAAATAAGTGCTGAAAATGATCTTGAACATGCATTTAAAAATAAATATATTTTATTACATTGTACAACATACTCTGTAAATGTTGAAGAGAGGAACACTAAAATTCCTGAATCGATCCCAAACGAGGAAATTCGGGTTGAAATCCATCTTTATGAGAGATGTTTAGAAGTGCTAAATTATTATAATAAAATTGAAATAGCGCTTGCTAAAACGATTTCACTGCAAGGCGTTTTATGAGTAGTGTCCTGACTAAGGAACAGTAGCAAAAGCAATTATTCATTCAAGGACAAATGTTAAAATATTTTGTACATTGTACCTACCGCAGTACCGGGTCGTAAAATGTCTTCATCTCTGTCAAAACAGAAATTCCATCCAAAGCTAGTCATGATTCTCCTTTTTGCGACACTCTCTTCCGAACTTTCCTTCTGTACAACATCAACATAGCTGCGTGTAACCCACCAAAAATTTAAATTTCGGCGCGGTGTGTTGTTTAAATTAATTGCTTATCGAGCCCGACTCCGATCCCGACGTAATTGTACTATTAGTCGACAGTTTTAGAGAAAAATCTAAGTTATATTCCATAGTTTTGAAAATCTACGTAAAGGTTAAATACTCAGTAACTAGAAATGAATAAATAAACAAAGAAATAAAAAATAAAATAAATAAATATTTATTTAAACGTTTCAACATAAGTTTACATAGCAACATTGGTTCAACAATGTCGGCCCAACATTACAAAGATGTCCATATTTCAACATTAAAAATAACAATGTTCAGGCACGTAGCAACGGGGGGTGGGGGGGGGGTGGGCCTATAGTGAAATCAAGGAAAAATAGCAAAAAAATTGGAAGTGAAAGGGAGTTGGCCTTGAAAAAAGTTGGCCACCACCACCCCCATCCTTTTGCTTGTCAACTTTTTCAGGTAAGTAAAAAAATTCTATGGTTCCCCCCCCCCACTTTTGAGAACGATGCTACGTGCCTGATGTTGGCCCGACGTTGGAACAATGTCAGAGCACCAACTGTTGTAATTACAATGTCGGACCCATGTTGGTACAATGTCAATGCACCAACTGTTGTAATTACAATATCGGACCGATGTTGGAACAATGTCAATACCCCGACTGTTGTAATGACAATGTCGGACCGATATTGGCCCAATATCGTTCTGCCAACCGCGATATGTAGCCGATCTACCAACCACATGCCAACATCGGCCCAACGTCAGCTTGCTATGGCATGTCAAACGTTGCTATATTCGATAATCTTGTGATGTATATGCAAAATCTTGTGATGTATGTTCGAAATCTTGTGATGTATATTCAAAATCTTGTGATGTATATTCAAAATCTTGTGATGTATGTTCGAAATCTTGTGATGTATATTCAAAATCTTGTGATGTATGTTCAAAATCTTGTGATGTATATTCGAAATCTTGTGATGTATATTCTATAATCTTGTGATGTATGTTCGAAATCTTGTGATGTATATTCTTGTGATGTATATTCGAAATCTTGTGATGTATGTTCGATAATCTTGTGATGTATATTCGAAATCTTGTGATGTATGTTCGAAATCTTGTGATGTATATTCAAAATCTTGTGATGTATATTCAAAATCTTGTGATGTATGTTCGAAATCTTGTGATGTATATTCAAAATCTTGTGATGTATGTTCAAAATCTTGTGATGTATATTCAATATCTTGTGATGTATATTCTAAAACTTGTGATGTATATTCTATAATCTTGTGATGTATATTCGAAATCTTGTGATGTATATTCTATAATCTTGTGATGTATATTCAATATCTTGTGATGTATGTTCAAAATCTTGTGATGTATATTCAATATCTTGTGATGTATATTCGAAATCTTGTGATGTATATTCTATAATCTTGTGATGTATGTTCGAAATCTTGTGATGTATATTCGAAATCTTGTGATGTATGTTCGATAATCTTGTGATGTATATTCGAAATCTTGTGATGTATGTTCGATAATCTTGTGATGTATATTCGAAATCTTGTGATGTGTGTTCTACAATTCAGTGATGCGTGCAATAAAATTGCATGACGCAACAGAAAAGTAAGGACAATTTTCATTGGTTAGAAATAACGAAAGTAGCCGGAGCGGTCGTAATGCACACATTGACACAACTTCGCAAGCATGAAATTATTGACGAATTCAACCTAAAGTCAAAATTATAGGTAATAGAAAAATTGTTTTGGTATCAAGAAGCACTAAGTCAGTCATAACGTGAAAAGTGAGAATCAAGAACATTAATTTGATTTGTTTGAAGGTACATCAAAAACAATTGAGTGGCTTATTGCTGGACTAAAGGATGTTTTATCCTATTTTTACGTCCTCATATTGTAGTGATGTTGATTAATCGGTATGATTTATTCTATATTGGTGCTAGTTAGAATAATCTAACTGTGTCTCGGGACAAACTCTCACCACGCAGGGTTCGAAATTGCATGGCCCATTGCAGCTGCATTGACCGTAGCACTAGTCCAGGGACGACTTTGCAATAAATAAATAAATAACACGACAAATTTTTAGGAGAAGGTGAATGTCAGGAAAAGATTAATTGCTATGCATCATTGAATATTGTCATTCACAAATTTGTCCAATTATTTTTATAGTAAATGTATTGAGCCGGGCTCATTTACAGGATAATGAACAAGGACTGTGGTGACAGTTTAAAATCACGTTCAGACGTTTAGAGAATATGTAATACACACAAAAATATCTCAATGGCATGTATAATATTAAATAGTTTTAAAAATAAAATAAAATATAGCTAGAAATTAACAGCGAAAAACATTTATCACGTATCGTTTCGGGGTAATCCGGTTTTATATACAAACAGAATTAAATAAACACCAATGCAGCAAGATTAAGGTCAAACGTCTCTGCACTGATGTGTTCTCAGCGGGGAGATTTGCATCAAGTCATTAATGATATTCCCTGCATTTGTGTTAGCCTGATAGTACAACCTTTATTTATAGAATCAATCTAATTCAAATTAGATGTTAGATCCGCTTGCATACTCGCTACACTAACATCTAACAAAATCCTGTTGAGGGTCACGTCAGAGGTCAAATTCTATCAATTAATCAAATCGCAGCTGGCAAAATCATCATATATTGTTGAAGCGAATAAATCTTGAGGCGTTCCGAATTTAACCTCTTACGTGACCCTCAATGGGATGACTTGTTAGATGTTAGTGTGGCGAGTATGCGAGCGGATCTAACATCTAATTTTAATTATATTGTTTATAGAATATGATGCGGACAGGGATACCTGGTGAAAACCTTTTGCACCCGTTGAATTACTTTGTAAAATATTAGTCAAAGGAGCCAGGAAAAAATATTAAACAATTTAATATTATGATAAAAATATTCAATTTACTATTTCTTAAGGTGTTGAATGGATTTTGTTTTCTCAACAGCGGCTGGTGCACGTACCATACTTTTACTCGTAAACTCAATTTGGCGGTGAAGAAGCAGCATTTTCTGTTGCTCACCGTCGCAATAGCTGAGCATTGCTCTACGAGCAATGTGCCCAGCTAAAAATAATAATATTTGTAATGATATAGGCCTATCATATTCTAGACTTGACATACAATAAACAATGATAAGAATTATTGTCGCATATCTGCAGTGATTTTCTTTGATCTTTCTGTGGTGATAATTTATCCCATATCACATGTGTGATAATACTTTCCAAACATGTTTCAAAGTTTTTACACTCTTTATCATACAGTTTTAAAGAACAGTTTTATGAGCTCATAAGTATATTAAATGGTTAATTTATCAAAACCTGCATTTAAAAATTCAGAAGTCTTAAGTTAAACCAAATTGTCCAGGGTATTCTTAGTAAGGTATGTCAAAGGTCATGGTTAAGTGTCTTTGTAAGGCTGGTATTTTTTCTTTAGTTTTATGGCAATCAGTGCACATGGTAAATAGCATAAAATTACCCTTAGAGGTCTTATGCAAGGAGATAGCTAATTAAAATGAACAAATGTAGTTCTATGTATGATGTATATAGAGACAATAATATTTCTTTTCTTTTTTCATTTTCAGGAACTTTACGTAGGTCTACAGTTTTAATTTTGGACTCATGCACTAGGAATATCATATCAGCAGAATTGTGCCACTGAATCAAAGGGAACTCTTTTTTTTTTTAGGTACGCATGATCGATGTAACTTCCTCGATGGTGTGTTGGCTGTTTGCCCATGTGTATTTCGGGGTATAGGTATGTTTAGTCTCAATTTTCTTGTTTAAAAGCCGCATAAGGGGTATATTTTTTCTGATCTCAAATTTTGTGTAAGCATTAATCTTTTTTCTCATTCATGAATTATCTGCTGAGAGTCTAGTTGATTAATTTATTTAATTAAAGCTATATAGTAACATATACTAGTAGTGAAATTATTTCCTTGTGTGAGACCTAAAGAAAATCAGGTTACTCATTTTTATGACAATTTCTTTGATTTTGGGAGTATAGCCTCCCCTTTTAAAGATCCAAAATGGTGATTTTACAGTGCGGCATGCAGTCTGGTCATCAACGAAGAGTTTTGACACCTGTAATACCCATATTTCTACCATTCACCTCTGTAACCTTTGTTGAGTTCATCAGACTGGTAAGAAAAACAATATTGTTAATTGAAATAATTTTATCAAGATAAATAAAATAATTAATGAAAAAAAAATTACATGAACAGACTCCCTCATATAAGAAAATGTCACATTTTACACATTGCAATTATACATCATTTACATATCCACATTTTCCCCATTTACACATGCAGTTGAATAGATTTAGTGCTTAATAATACATAGCAACAATTATTACATGAATCCTAAGACAATTCACAAAATACATGAATGCATTAAACTGTGAAATACAGATTTTGTACATTTAATTAAAATGCACAGCATCAGTACCCCCCCCCCCCCCCCTTCACAATCTTGCAACTTTCTTTTTAATTCAAAGTCACTAGGCAACACTAAAGATTTCCACTTATTGCTTTTCAGTCCAAGACAGGAAGTTGAGGAATAAAGTTGACAGGACATCCTGAACTGTCCTCGCTACCAGCTTATGAGGGAACCAGCTGCAGTGGACAAAGTACGTTACATCATAGGATAATAGGTAAGTCTCCGGAGTAGTGTTTGTAGCAATTCTCGTACTTGGTCCTGCATCGAAGATTCAGGACTATTGATATTTATCTCTGCATGGTTTGGTTCTTCCCAGAAACATGTTACTGGTGGTGGTCCCTATATTCTTCTGGCTTTTGTGGTGAGGAATGTTTCATTTCTAGCTCTTTTCTGATCACATTTTGTCTATCTAGCTGTTTGTCTGTCTGTCTGTCCATCTGTCTGTCTGTAAACTTTTCATATTTTCGACTTCTTCTCTAGAACCCATGGACCAATTTCAACCAAACTTGCCACAAAGCATCCTTGGGTGAAGGGGATTCAAGTTTGTTCAAATAAAGGGCCACACCCTCATTCAAGGGGAGATAATTGGGAATTAATGAAAATTTGATGGTATGTTTTAAAAATCTTGTTCTCAAGAACCACTGTGCCAGGAAAAATGAAACTTATGGAGAAACATCCTCAGATAGTGTAGATTTAAATTTGTTCAAATCATGACCCCCGGGGGTAGGGCGGAGCCACAATGGCTGACCAAAGTTTAACATAAAAATATATAAGAAAATTCTTTAAAAATCTTCTTCTCAAGAATGACAAAGCCATAATTGATCCTATTTATATGGAAGCATCCTCAGGTAGTGTCGATTCAAGTTTGTTCAAATCATAACCCCCGGGGTAGGGCGGGGCCACAATGGAAGATCAAAGTTTTACATAGAAATATAAAGGAAAAATCTTTAAAAATCTTCTTCTCAAGAACAGCAAAACCCTGATTGATCATATTTATATGGAAGCATCCTTAGGTAGTGTAGATTCAAGTTTGTTCAAATCATGTCCCCCGGGGGTAGGACGGGGCCACAAAGGATGATCAAATTTTATATAGAAATATATAGGAAAATTCTTTAAAAATAACCTTCTCAAGAAAAGCAAAGCCATGATTGGTCAAGGGACTACTTTTGGATTTAAACTTTTCAATAAAAAACCAATTTTTACTTTTTCCTAGCCACAGTGCTCAGGTGAGCGATGTGGCCCATGGGCCTCTTGTTTTTTTTTTTTTTTTTTTTAAAATGATCAATCATTAAATATAAATAAATCAGTTGTTAAAAAATTTGCTTCATATTTGAAGTGCTTTAAACTGACCCTTTGATGAAAGTGACCAGTGTTTTTTGCACCTTGAAAGGTTTATTGGTAAATTATAAGAAGGAAGTTATGATTTTGGTGTTACTATTGTTGTTATTTAAGTTTGATTTGATTTTTATATTACGAGTATTATGAAACTGTTATTTTGTTACTGACCGATTGTTAATTTTAATTGTAAACAAATGTACAAAGATGAGGAGTATAATATAGTTGGCTATGTATATTGCCCAATTTTTGAACATACTATGTAATAAATATTAATAACAACCTTTGAATAATTGGAAAGACAATATTATAAATATGATAGCATTTTTGTACATGAGCATACATTTTTGAAAGGAAAAATAAATTATTCAATTGCATTAAAAAAAATATTTTGTTTCATATTCTTGCGAATTATCAGATCATTCTTCTATTATTTAAATACTCTGTCATTATGAAACCTTGTTAATAATTAAGTAAATATTAATTGTACATTTGCACCAATTTTTACATGGCATTTTCACACTAAGAATGCCACGTGCAAAATTATATACAGGAACAATTCTGAACAAATATATGCAAGTGAGTTGTAAATTTGATATGTAATGCATACATTACAAAAACCCATGACAGTGTTCACTAAAATGAAATGTATGGACTCTTATATAAATACTTGGTATATGTGATATGGATATTATGGATGATATTTTTGAGAATGACACAAGTAATGAAATTTTTCAGCATTGAATTGGATTCTTGAACCAGAGCCATGTGAACCTGGTCCACCTGTACCTCTCATTGAAGACCTGTTAACATCACCAGAGTATGTTCATTCTGATACCCCTATGGTATGGTTACAGCATGCATTATCCCTGAATCCATTAAAAGAGCTGCATTGGCAACGAAACAACCCAATGTGGTCGATTGTAAGGAAATAAAGCATATCAGCTTCCAACTTTGGTGCAGTTCTCAGTTCTAAGCAAAGGCGGTAAGACGTGTGATTAAATTTTTGCGAAAAAGACTTTTAAAATTACAGTCAAACTTTGTTATCTCAAACCCATTATCTCATATTTCATGGATATGTCAAAGTAATTTTGAAGTCCAAACCATTTATAAAAGACTGGGACATTTTATTCTTGATAACTCTTTATGTATTATTCTTGAATCCACGGATATTTCCAACATTTTTCTTGGTCTCATTGAGTTTGAGATAATGAGGTTCGACTGTAATGACTAGATATTTGTACATAAAGATGCAGGAAATATAAGATTAATAACCAAAAATCATATTTTCTTCTCCAGATTGACATTGTCACTGAAGAAACAGCTGATGTCGGCTTACAATCTGGAGTCCATCAAGGCTGTTGCATGGGGTATCACTCATGAAGATGATGCTTTGAGAAAGTATGAAAAGGACTTTGATGCAGCTGTAGAGCAGTCAGGTATACAGCACAAAATAACATTCATTCAACCTCTGACATGTTAACATTCAATGTGTCAAAACAAATAACAGGACTTATCCTGGTGACAAACAGAAATCAATTACTGAAGTCTAATTGTAAAAAAAAAACTAGAAATATGTCCATAGGACATGAATGCCCCGCCGAGGATATATTAGTAAAGCAACATGAAATTTGTACATGTATAAAATTTGATCAGTTTGGTTCAGGCAGGGCTTATAGTTAATTGGGAATAAAAATGTAGGTCCAGCATCCAAAGCAAGTCTGGTAGTGTCCATCCCTAGATGCATCATCCATGCAAGTTTGGTTCAGGTAGGGTTTATAGTTACTTGGGAATGAAAATAAAGGTCAGATCCAGCATCCGAAGCAAGTCTGGTAGTGTCCATCCCTAGCTGCATCATCCATGCAAGTTTGGTTTAGGTAGGGCTTATAGTTACTTGGGAATGAAAATGTAAGTCAGATCCAGCATCCGAAGCAAGTCTGGTAGTGTCCATCCCTAGATGCATCATCCATGCAAGTTTGGTCTAAGTAGGGCTGATAGTTCCTTAGGAATAAATCTGCTCCAAAAACTTCAACCTGGTCACTCATCTGGAAAATATAGGTCAGATCCAGCATCCGAAGCAAGTCTGGTAGTGTCCATCCTTAGATGCATCATCCAAGCAAGTTTGGTCTAAGTAGGGCTTATAGTTCCTTAAGAATAGACCTGCTCCAAAAACTTTAATTTGGTCACTCATCTGGAAAATGTAGGTCAGATCCAGCATCCGAAGCAAGTCCGGTAGTGTTCATCTCTAGATGCATCATCTATGCAAGTTTGTATCAACATGTAAAGTTTGATAACACCATCTTGAATGGTATGTTTAAAACTGAGCTAAACACTATTTAAGAAAAGTCAGGTCAAGGTCAAAGGAAAGGTCAAGGTCAAAAAATGTTGCAGTTGCATAGCTCTCATCAATATCTATCAGCATATGAAGTTTGATGAAAATATCTTGGATAGTTTCTTTGAAACTTAGCTTTGAACAGAGCTAAACACAAAGTGGGATGGAAGGACAGAAGGACGGAAGACGGACATGACAAACACTATATGCCCCGGCCATATTCATGGCGGGGCATAAATATTCAGTTACCAACATATTCCAGAAAATTTGCTTTTTGAAGTGGAAGGATTATAAAAGCTCTACTTAGACTTTGTTTGCATTACAAAATCAATTGTATTATGGTTTGTTTGCATTCAGTAGTATTATAATTTTTTCTGAAAAGGATATGGTTGCATGAATCCGGAGTGTTGGGAGCTTCACATGATGGCTTAGTTGTTCGACCACCAACATGCAGTGTATTTTATCAAACTCCAGAAGCCAAAGACGCCATTCCTGATATTGTAGAGGTGAAGTGTCCATATACAGCATCGTCTTCAACAGTAGCAGATGGGGCACAAAATTTGAAGGATTTTTCATAGGTAAATAACATTAAAAATCTGTATTGTCCAGTACTTTGAAATTAAAAATCTTGGTGAGTAAATGATTTCAAAACATGTATTAATTTACAAGTGCAGCTGTTCAATATGGTAAGAAGATATTGAAAAAGGAGGGGATATGTACTGGTATAACACAACTTAAGTGTTTTTTGATTTTTTTTTAGATCTTAAACAAGATACCCTGTGCCTGAAAACCAGTCACCCATACTATCATCAAATTCAAGGCCAGCTACACATATGTAACAAAACATTCTGCGACTTAATTGTGTGGACAAGAGTAGACTGCATTGTGATTAGAATAGTAAAAGACATTGAATGGACAGCAAATGTTCCAAAGCTGATAGATTTCTACATTAACATTTTCATTCCAGCACTGATGGAAAACTGAGTTCTGGTTTGAACTTCTTGACACTTAGTTTTGTACCTCTAGAATTTTCTAACAATGGAAAATGGGTAATCATGTTAAATGTGTTGAATGTTCCTAAGTCTCATAAATGTATGACATGATATGTCACAATCCATCATAAAACTTCTGGCTTATAAGACTATTTTAAATAGCAATGATGATTAATAAAATCTATGTACTACATAAAAAAAGAATATCAAAATTTAGAATCATTTTATTAATGAATTGAAGATGTTATTCTCAAAGTGAAAATGTAACATTTTTGTCTTTCTTAATAGATAAATTGTTGAAAACATGAATTTGTTGAGTTGTGCTTTAAAGGTAAATATACTTTAAACTAGAGATTTAAAATTATAAGTAAACCCTCTTCCAAATTATATTGTCAAATGAAGAATGGAATTGCCAAACATTCTTGTAATAAATCCATGCTAACAAAAGGGATTTTCATTTTCTGAAGTACATGTATTACAACATACTACAAAATTAACAAATATAACCATTGACATTGATAACAAATCAAAATTTGCTTATCCCTTGCACTTTGGTATGAATATCTTCACTGTTTAGTGTATACTGTCACACGCCAATGCAAATTTATAATAAGTACATGTATCTTTAAGTAATTTCTTTCAAAAGTGGAGCTTGCAAGTTTACAAGACAAGAACAGAGTTGAAATATTTTTGTTGAGATTGGTCTGTAAGTAGATGGTATGTAACGGAGAATCTCGTAATTCTTTATCCTCTCGTTGGCTCTTTCCACATGAATAAGTGCTTTAGCAATCTTGTAACACAGTGCTGCTTCTTGTATGGTAAACTGGCCTCGTGTTGATAAAAGAGCTTTTATAATTAAGCAGACACCCTGGGGCAACTGGTCATGAATGGTGAAACCTTTGACCACCAAAATAAGGTCTCCAGCTTTGAACTTTCGTAAAACTTGGCTGTGACGTACAATAGCTACATCAGAAGTAGAACCTGGGTACAGCATGGAGCAAAATGTAAGTGCACCATTTGGAGGCACGCAAGTTACTGCTTTAAAAGTATGGCAACTTTTGTACATACTGTAGGCCATGGCCTGATTATCCATATGTGTTGGGATGTCCTGGGTTGTTTCAATTGCATCCATGGATGCTCTAGCAGAGGAAAAATCCCCAAAAGATTTTGGCAGAGACCCTGAAAAAAAATTGGAAAAAAATTAATTTGTAATTGTGTAAAAAAAATTGTGTTACAGTCAATTTTTCAAGAATACAATAAATTTAACTGCATTAAATTTTTGCATTATGATAAATTTTAAAACAAACCTTTGCATTTAAGCTGACTTGGAAAACATTCTACGCTACATTCTACACTACACCATCAGACAGCATCTTGTATAGGGAAAAGACCACTAATTATTTTCCCATAGAACTCCATACAAACCTTAGGCCTTCTCAGTACTTTACTATGACAATTTCAGAAAAATCTTTAGCATCATTTCAAACTTTGTTCTAAGCCCTAACAAAAAATACTGAAAAAAATATATGGTCCCATGGCGTTTATAGGTCAAAATTGCAGTTATTTTCAACTTATAGAGATTCGCAGTAAATAACACGCGGCATAAAAAATCAACCCCCACTCCTAAAATCTTACCTGGCATTTCTATAGTTTCTGTAATATTCCCTCATCCTATCATTTATTTCAAAGGTCATTAATTTTACTTTAAAATGAAAACAATTAAATACCTGATTTCAGCCAATGGCGTAACGCCTACCCATTCAGTATTCTGTTTAATGTTCCATAACAAACAAAGCCATGTGTTCATCCGGGGATTTGGTGCTCTCATTCCTATACTTACATACTTACCTGTCCCAGAATTAGTCAATTGTGGTAATTTCAAAGACTATACACCTACCTGTGAACATGTATGAAATTTGAGTCCTGTGACTTCAGTGTATTGGATACTGTGACCATCTCAAATGATGACACCTTACTGCTACCAGCACAATTCAAAGGAGTGAATGACGTCTGGGCCGGTGATGATATTTGGATATATTGGTGACTGTAATAGATAAAATATTTGTACAATGAATTGTTTTTGTGCTTTAATGTTAATAAAGTGATATTAATTAAGTCAAAATTGAGTCAATAATTTCATAAGGGTGGATTCTACCCAGAATTAGGTAAAAAGCTCCAAAATTGGATAAATCATAGTTAATTAAGCAAAATTCAAAGGTTTCAAAAAGACTGATATAGAATTTTTTTATGCTTATGCAAAGTATATTATTTAAGACTCTGATATACTAATTGATTCTTATCTAATCCCTCCTATTGCTTAAGTATGTACAAAAAAGTTTCCCCACCCCCCAGTGAAAAACACTTAAAGAAATAGCAGGTGTCTATGGAATGCCATATACGACAGCCAACTGCTTACTGCCAACTGCTGACTGCTTACTGCCAACTGTCCGCTGCTTACTGCTAACTGCCACACATATTTGAATAAATTTCATATTTATATTGATATTCATATGAATCTAAAAAAGAGAAGAAAAAAAAAAACAGGCGCGGATCCAGGACATTTTTCTTTTTTTTTCAAGAGGGTCATCCTTGTAAAATTAAATTGATTTAATAACCAATGTGTTTTATCTTACGTAATATTCAATATATGCGATTAATAAAGTACAAAAGTTTATTTTTTAAAATTTGTTTTCTTATTTGAAATAGGTATAATAAAATGATTATTTTCTGCTTTTAATCTTCCCCCCCCCCCCCCCCCCCCCCCCCCCGAAGACAACAAAACATTTGAAGAGAGAGAGAGAGAAAAAAAGAATTGTCTTTTCGCAGAGAAAGATGTTTTGAAAATAAATATACATTTTCCAGTATATTCTATAGTTGAAAATTTCCCCAAAAGAAAAATACCGCGGTGTGTTATAAAGTTTCAAATGCATGGATCTTCGGGGGGGGGGGGGGGGGGGGGTTAAAATTTGTACAGTCATGGGTTAATGTATAAACTAAACGAACTAAAACTGACCTTGGACCATCCATTTAGAAAGCATTTATATCTCTTTGTTTTTACAAATAAGATCTGGGGCCCGTTTTACAAAAGAACTTACGACTAAGACCAAAAAACTTCAGATGATTGTAAAATTTTGCAAAATAAATAATTATCTTTGAATTTGTTTGTGTAAAAATATCTTACCACAATTTTCGATATAAAATTAATTTAAAAGTTGTATGAAGAATTAAATTTGGTCTTAAAACGGGCCCCTGTTTTACATCCTAGACCTAGAGAGAGGGGTCCGGACCACCCCTCTGAAATTTTTAAAGTTATTTAATGCACGAACTAAAACAACCAAAAGATATTTATTGTTTAAATTAAATCAACTAAAAGGGACCTTACACCCCCCCCCCTGAAAACGCGAATTCGTGTTAAGTTGGTATAAAAAATGTCATAGACATGAAGGTACGACGCATAATAACCCCCTC